TTTTAACTTTTTAAATATGTGTTTTTTTAAATTTTTTTTTTTTTTTTTTTGGTATGTGATATTTACAAACTTACAGTCCTAACACCTTGTAGGAATGATTGTGTGTGAAGGAAAGAAAACCTAAACTCACTGCAGCCTGAAATATTACATGCAACCACAGGAAAAAGGGGGAGAAAAGAGTGATGGGGGAGGAGACTGTTTTCCTGGGGAAAAATAGGGTAGCATCAACATTATGAAGATATTAAATGACTAAAAGTAATTGGGTGTCTGAGATAAGGATGGATGCTTTGCCATCTGCATCATGTAACTAACATCCATCTAAATATCTCTAGTCAAGCTATCCCAGAGGACATAGAATTAAAATAAAATTATGCCACATGACTAGCAGTTTGTGGGCAGAAGAAGGAGATGAGGCAGTGTCCTAAGGCTTGGGTAAAAACCTCGCAACAGATCTACTCCAAGGGGAAAAGCACCTACTCTGGAGGACTCCCTACTTCGCTGTGCAGGGCATTGCATCCAGCAGTGCCACGGACCAACCGGAGATGCGTTAGCAGTGTGCTCAGCCCCTTCCTCTATGCATAGTTTTCTGATGCTTAACATCCCTTTTTGCACATAAATTGGAGCCTGTGCCTGCTGATGTCACCTCTTCTGTCCACATGGGGAGATTCGAGGAATGGGGAAAAGGGAGCAGGTATATTTGTGTGTAGGTAAGGGAGAGCTACCTAGTGTTGCCCGCCACTGAGGGGGAACCGGTGCACACCAGATTGAATCTGGGAATAACTGGAACAAGTTGCCTTGGATGCTTTTTGACTCCTCTTAGGCTGCACAGTTAAAGCCAGAACTGGTACTAAACAGTCCTGGCATGTGGAGGATGGGGAGAATGTAACTGAGACCCAGCAACTCAAAACCAGAATCGCCTCTTCATTTCCTTAAAAGTTTGCAAAGACTGTGCTGATTCTCGTGGCCATCCCATCTTGCCAAATGTCCTGGACTTCAACTTTTTTTACTAAGTGCCCTCCATTGATACCCTGGGATGACAACACACTGCTTTCAAACTAGCTTTCCAATGCAACTGCGCAATAATGTGTGGACAAGCCAGACTCCAACCCTGGGGAACCCTCTCTGATCGCTGGCTGTACCCACAGCAACATCTTCGTAGCAACCCTGAGAAGTTGGCCTGGTCCACACAGCCCGGAGCCTGCAAGCTACCCTGCCATGGCAATGTGGAAGATGAGATATTCTCAATAAGGATACCACTTTCAGCATCAGTCTGCCAGGGGAGCTGTTATAAACAGCAGGGAATAAAAACATGATTCTAAAAATTATGAGAAAAGACTTGACAGTGTCCTTCTTCAGAGGCAGTTTGAAAAATCCGCACAATAACTGCACAGCCAGAGAAATCCATCTTCTGAATAAAGGCAGTGTAGTCAGCTATTTCAAAATAAAAGACAGATAGCAAGGACTGGCTGGCTCAGGAATTTAATAATAATGAGATATGAAGCCATTCACCCCTAGGTCACCAGTACAAATCCTGCCCAAGCTGGGAATAATTGGAAGCTATTACCCTCTGAGGCATATTTGCTGCTGCCTGGGAAATTAGTTGGGGAACCTGTTGGGCCAGTAACTACATGAACGAAATTTTGAGGTATTGCCACCAGCATCTACCACCAGCCCTCCCAGTGCCACTGGGCTGGCAGCAGCAGTTCCTCTGCCTTCCTCATCAGCTCCTCTGCAATGCTGTGACCTGTTTGTTCTGGCTTTGCTCCCACCTAAGCCCACCCTGTGCATATCTGTACCCCTTCTTTCAGGCGCTGAAAGACCCCACCTTGGCAGCCCGCAAGGATTTCCAGAGGGAGGCAGAGCTGCTCACCAACCTGCAGCATGAGCACATCGTCAAGTTTTACGGCGTCTGTGGTGACGGTGACCCACTCATCATGGTCTTCGAGTACATGAAGCATGGTGACCTGAACAAGTTCCTGAGGTATGTGTGAAGGAGGGCATGGGAGATGCTGTGCAACCGTGCTGCAACCTCAGTGTAGGTTGTTATAGATCTGTGGTGCACCAGTGACACCTTTACTGCGTGGATGCTGGTGGGCTCTGTAATGAGAGCTGGTTGTTCCAAGGGCAGCTTGGAGGAGATGATGGTCCTCACCAGATCTGGTGCTTTATTAGCCCTACCCCAACATTTCCTCATAGGTAGTCCCAGGGATAGTCCTTGTGAGCTACAGTAACCAGACTTTCCTTCTCCCACCCCAGCAAGTTTGAAGCCGCAGGAAGCATGGCTGCAATCCCTCTCTGCCCTGTGGTGGTAAAAGGACATGAAGCCATGGCTGTCAGCAGCTCCAAGTCCCATAAACCCAGCAAAGCCATGCCCTGCTGAAACAGGAAGGCCACTAGCCATCACTCCCCATGTCACATAGCTCCTGGTTCAATAGCACAAGAACCAAAATATTCCTTGGAGAAACTTGCTGGAGTCCTTGGTCTGATTGGTATCCTGAGCATTTACTGATCTCTAGTTCTCATTCCTATATTCAGAAAAGACCTGAGAAATGTTGGAGGAGCCTCAGGTGTTGCCTGTGGAGTTCATCCCTGGTACTTGTTCCCTAAACATCATCAGACAGAGATCCTGACTGAGACATCCTAATATCCTAACCTGTGGCACCATGCTACTCCAGAAGCTAGGCAAGGCCTGACGAAGTGCCGTAATTGCCTTCCCTGCCTCTAGAGAGACGCAAATTACTGAAGCCCCCCCGCCCCCATCATCATTCAGCCATTTCATCAGCACAAGGCAGATCATTTGTGTGCCCTGAATCCGCCAGCGATGAGGGGCAGGGAAGCAACTGTGGGAGGATGTTTGTGGTGCTGTTCTCCCACGATACAGAAATTACACTCTGAAACCTGCGTGCAAGTGGAGTGGTACTTACCTCTTGAAATAATTAGTAGTTTTATTTCTCAGTGTTTAGAAAATTGGACCCTTGATATTTTCCTGTTTTGACTGCTAAGTGTGAACGTGATTGCGGCAGGAACAAGAAGCTTGAGCACAGCAGGTCTAGATGTGGGGTTGGGATACACTCAGCGATTATTTTTCCACCATTACAGTCAGTTTCTGACCACGAAACATAGGTCCTTCCCTGAGGTTTTCATTTCTAAGCAATCACCTACACCAGAAGAGCTATGGGAAAGGAACCCAGAGGTTTCTTCTTTCCTCTGCCAAGCAGTGCCAACCTGTCTGCAGCTCCCTTGGGGCGTTCACGGGTCAGTGGCTGAACTGGGAACATCCCTGCGTTGGTTTCCCTCTTCATTTTGGCATAGTTGTGGGTAGATTGAATATGATTTTATAGCTCAGTTCCTCTCTCAGGCTCTGGATAGATGACATCCTTGGCAAGGTAGGATGAGTGAAGGCTGATGCTACACTACCTTTGCAGAACTTCTCAGACCCATCTTCAAGGGGGAGCAGCCGTGGTTACCCTAGGACCCTCTCTTGTGGTACCCTGTCTTGCAGGGGCTCGGCAACCTCCCAGCAGCAGTGGATTGGGTGCTGCCAACTGGCATGAAACCGTGCATTGGTCTGAAATGGTGTTTTAGCGGAGATCAGAGATGCAGTGTTAAGGACAGTGCCTCAGCCTTGTGACTGAAGGAAGGCATTCTAAAAAAGAGCATGAGAGACTGCATTCTTGAAGTGCTTCACAAGAAAAACCAGAAAATTGACCCATCTTTTTTCCTGGCAGAACCAGCAACCTTAGTCTTCTTAGACATTACAGCTGAGGCGTAGCCTCCTTCACTGCTCTAGTTGGCCTCCCAAACAGTATAGTCCAAAACAGGCACTCTCACTGTCTCAGAGGGATGTCTCATGCCCACTTCCAATACCTTGTGGAATTGGTTCACACAACAGTGTGCTCCTAAGGCTGATATCATGCTGGAGCCATGGAACCCCTCATCCCCATGTCCCAACCCTGCCTTGGGACACGTCTGAGAAACTTATGCCCTGGGAGGCCAAGGCTTGTCCCAGTGTCACTGGAGAAGAAATTGTTGTTGTATTGTCTTTGGCCTTTATGAAGGAAAAGAAACTTTCCAGATGTGTGGTCCCTTGGATTGCAGCCTCTCATCTTCCAGTTGCATTCAGCTGCCAGCTTCTCCTCATGCAGCTGTGAAGCAAGCAGCTACAAGCTCCCTTCTCTGCATGTTGGTGTGTGATAGGCAGTGAAATCCTTTTGTGTCCCAAAAGAAGCTGGCTTTTGGGACAAGGGAGCTTATACCCGACAAACAGGAACTCAAAATGCCTAAGGAGGCAAGTCTTGGGCTTTGTTTGTCAGGTCAGCTATCTGCTGGTGGGAAACTCTGGAGGATGGGGGGCTGCAAGGGGGTCAGAGAGGGCTGGTGTTGCAGGAGTGCCTGGCATCCCCCAGCAAGCAGCAGTTTTTATTGTGGCATGATTCACCCAGCCCATAGCGAGAGACAGTTGCTCCCAGGCACTAGAGGCCAGGGACACTGGGAGTCCGTAAGAGACACTCAGATGGACTTTTCCCAGTTTAACTGCAGAAATTGGAAAAGCGGTAAAATGGAAGAGGCTCACTTTAGACCCAGTCTCCTAGAGAAAAGTACAATAAATAAATTCCCCTAAGTGTATTTAGACTTCTGTGTACTTCCCAGAGAAGAGAGAGAATTTTGGTGGTCTGTAAAATTAACTGGTGTGGCAAGGGGAGAACTAGGATCGACACCTACCAGCTGGGTGAGAGGTGGCATGCATTGGGATGGCTCTAAAACCTCCCAGGGCCCCCGCGTGTAAGACCATTGCTGGTGGTGCAACAACTTACTCTGCTCTCCACGCCAGGGGAAACTGCAATCATGGTGTCCTGGCTAACAGAAAAGGGATAGTGAAAAGATCCTGCCGTGGAGAAATAGAGGCATTGCTCTCCAGGGAGCATGGCATCCTTAGGGCTGGTGTACACGGGGGCTGGAGACTGCCCAGAGGTTGTGTGCCTGGCAAGGCTCGGTGGTCCCCGGCACACAGACTCGCTGCTCGGGGGTCTGCAGCAACCTCCTTCCCTCTCTGCTCACCGAATATCTACATCGCTTCCTCCCTTTCCTTCTGTCACTGGTTTTCTAGCTTTTGTTTTCTGCCTGTGACAGCAGCAAATTTGAAGTAGGGATATTTGCACATTGCCGTTACAGACCCTCTTTGCAGTCGATGGTAAGTTGTTGCCATTTGCTGTTAACTCAGACAGGCAATAGATTTTGTTAGAAAAGTTGCAAAGTTCTGAGGTTTTTGTGTCAGCACTTCCAGTGAAGCAGCCCCACAGTCAGGACTGTCTTGGGATAGAAAGAAGAATTTCAGCAGAGGAAGCCAGAGGGGTGATTTTCTTCCCCACGCTGACAAAAACCTCCATCGCTCCATAATGGAAAAAAAACCCAAGAGTTCTTTAACAGGGGGTCCACCCAATTTTATGGCCTCTCTGTAAAGCTGAATTAAACCCCTTTTCCCAGGAAAAGATGGGCAGACCCTTCTCATATTCCCTGTAGGCTTCTTGAAACAACTGAATGTATTAATATCCTTCCTGTTAATCTCATAAATGTGTTGATACTTCTTCCTTCTGGACTGTAACCATGTGGGATGGAGAAAGGGGGAGAGGGAAGTGTATATATTGTATAGGACATACCGAGATGTGTCCTATACAGTAGGATGTACAAAGAGCCAGCAGAATAAAGGTGTTGGCTGACCATTTTTTAAACATTACCTGTTTCCTTTAGACACAAGACATTACTTTGGGGGCCATTATTGTATTTGAAAAAGGTGGCAGTAATGAGATAGTAATATATCCTTCACTTCTCACCTAGGAATGTTCACCTTTGATGACAACAGGTATCAACTGCAGCTAAATATGGTGTAACTGCAAGGCATGACTGGTACAAACTGTCCAGCACAGCTTTAGAAGCTATTGTTTGTCCTGCTTTGCTGGTTTTAGCTAACCTGCTTAGCCCTGGCTCAGCTTCACCTGCTGTTGACATCTGTTGTCACCACCAGGTAATTTCCTGGGGTAAACCCAACTGTGGGCTGTTTAAATAAGACATCAAGCAGTCGTTTCTGCATAGACTCTTCTGTGGGTCTTCCTTGCCCTCAGCAGCTCTTCCAATGGGCTACTGCTCCCACCATGCCCACCAGCCTCCAAGATGCCTCCAGCAGCCCCAGCCCTACTGCCCGCAGTGCTGCTCCCAGCCAGCTCATTCCACATTCACTGCAGCATCACTCACTCATGGCTCCCAAAAACCACTCTTGGCTCCTCAGCATCCATTTCTGAAGTTCCTCTCCTCTTCCAGCTGTCCTTTCTACCAGGAGGGGACATTCAGAGCCATGTTCCCAGTGGCAGGGCAGCAGGAGGCAGCTAAAGAGAGGGGCATTTGAAAAACTATTGGTTGAACCCCAAACACCTGGATGCTAATCCCTTTGGTGTACCCTCAAGCTCAGCAGATCAATTTGGGAACAGAGACAAAGGAGGGAAACAATTTGGATCTTGTTGTGGGTTGTTCAATCCCCTGTCAAGAAGGAGGGAAAGCTCTGTATGTGCAATTTCAATTTGCTGTCTCTGTGTGGGGTTACTGCTGATGACAGGGGTGACATGCCAAGAACCATTTCAAAGAGAACAGTATGAAAGCCTCAGAGGAAATGCTGTACTGTATCTTAGTCACAAGGAGGAAGGTCACAGCAAAATCTCTTGCCTTTCCCTAAACATGAGGGCTTTTGTTATTCCACCTTCACACAGGCTACCACATGGTGAGCTCTACCAGGGGAAGCGACATCACAGAGGGAGCATGGCAAAGACAGGCTTGGTACACAGCAAGGAAGGGGACTAAAAAGAGGACAGAACAGGAATGAGACTGACCTTAAGTCCTGCATTTGCAATGCACTTGGTTCAGCAAGGTATTTGCTTTTGATGCCCAGGATGTTCTCTGCATCTGCTGACATCCAGGTCTAACCTTTGCACCTGTACTCGTGCCTTCACAGTTCACAGTATCTGTGTTACCTCTGGGATAGCTCACGATATAAAAGATATTTTCCAGGGATGAAGCTGCTGGTGTTCCTCTGAAACCTTTTCTGTGATCTCTAGCTGTACTGATATCCATCAGGGGGCGGTTGTTTGGTGATATGGTGTTTGGAGGAAATAGAGGAGGCTGTTCGGGATTAATAAAGAGACTACGTAGCAAGAATATGATGGCTGTGGAAGAAAAGGGGATGATATCTCTGTGAAGGTTTCCAAGGTGTAAGAATTAACTGGAGCAAACATGTAAATATCTGGAGGCTCATTGGTTTTGCACAGGTCTTGATAGAGAAGGATTTCCATGTTGCATCAAGCCATCGGTCCCTCTGTCCTGGCAGTCTGTCTCCATTTGTGGCCATAAGAGGTTGCTTGCAGTAGAGTACAGATAGGATAAGGACACATGGCACCCACTCCCCCACCAAATGTTCCCCAACCTCCTATTCTCTTAAGCTTTTCTTTTTTCTTACCACTGGAGCTGTGTGTACATCCTCACAGTGCAGAGTTGGGGGCTAGTCTCCACTCCAGCAGGAACAGCGACCGTGTGGGATTCCTATCTCCTGGTCACTTTTGAGACCCAACTCTATGCTTTTTGCTTCTTCCTCCCTATAGGGCACATGGCCCAGATGCTATGATCCTCGTGGATGGGCAGCCTCGACAAGCCAAAGGGGAGCTAGGGCTATCCCAGATGCTCCACATCGCTAGCCAGATCGCCTCTGGAATGGTGTACCTTGCCTCCCAGCACTTTGTCCATAGAGACCTGGCCACCAGGAACTGCTTGGTCGGAGCCAACCTGCTGGTGAAGATTGGAGACTTTGGGATGTCAAGAGATGTCTACAGCACTGATTACTACAGGGTAAGGCAGCTCCAGCGGCAGTCTGATGCTCAGAGCAAAGGGAGACTAGGAAATGTTACAGTAATTCAGTTTTTGGAGCTCTTGGGCTCACTCGCTTGGTTATGTCCTCATTGAAACATGTGCACAGATGTCAATCTGGCATCCCTGAACCACCGTCCTTACTCCTTTTCAGTCCCAGGCATGCTTGTAGCTCAGACATCCATGCAGATGCCTACACACAGAGCTCTCTGTGATACCCCAGCACACAGTCATACGCTTTGGGATGGCTCTGAAGTCATCCCATTCTTACTTCCTCCCTATTTTTTTCTCCCTCTTTTTTGAAGACATTGATAAATTAAAGGTAATCTAAAGAGATGACAAAGACTTCAGGCTGTGACCTCTGGTGTTAGATTAAAGAAACTTAATACAGGGACCTAGAGAAAAAGCCACTGAAAGACTGACTGATAAGTGCATAAAATACGGAAGAGGAAATAATAGGCAATTTAGGTTTGACCTCAAAACACTTTTTTCCAGCAGGGTCATTATTTAGACAATGGAATAATTTGCCAGAGGTAGGTTGCTGAGGGCCTGTCATTAAAGAAGTTCAGGAAGCAACTAGATAAAAACGCCTGGGTTTAGTGCAGAGGCTAATCCTGCACTCGTCTCTGGGGATGGACTCAATGAGTCAGGAAAAAAGCCTTTTCTTCTGTGATTTGTGCTCCCACTGTCCCCTTGTCTTGCACACTCCTTTCGTACCTGTCTGCGCTGCCCTGTCTGCCCGGGGTGGGAGCCTCCCTGGGGGCACAGCGTGTTTCTCACCCTTCCTCAGCTACAGGAGAAGCTGTGATGTGCAAAGCATTTGAAGCACACTGGAGTAGGCATTTGTCGCCAGGCCATCCACCAGCAGGGAAGGGCTTTTTAGGCTAAGGAGCAGTGGTTTCTAGCCTGATGCTTGGACTAAGGCTGGTTTCTTTCTGGTTACAATGTGGATATTTGGCTTTGAGGATTATTTCTATGAGCTACCTGAGAAAGGGTTGACCTATGGTCTTCAGTGATTTAAAAGATTTTCCTTATGTGATAAGCAGCTGCCAAGTGGAGTTACTGTGTCGAGGAAGAGGAAAAATGTGATCAGATTTCTGCTGAGACATATCACCTCTCAAAGCCCAGGACATTGGCTTATCACTGAGTTTAATTACCAGTGACGAAATCGATCTTCACTGTGCAATACAAAAGCCCATGTTGGGAAAAGGTCTGGGTGCAGTTACTGGGCAGTGATGAGGGAGGAGGTGGCTACAGTCCCATCACTGCTGAAACTTCAGGAAGGAGCAAGTAGGAAAGAGAAAAGCCCAAGGGAGGATGAGAAGCAGCCCATGCAATTACCCATGTTCTTGCCTGCCTCCTTTCCTTCAGCCATATTAGACCTACACCAACCACAGTCAGTGTCACACTGCTTGAGACAATCCCAGCCGAGCTTGTGTCCCTGCAGCACAGCGAGCTCTCTATGCAATGGGAGAATTTGCTGCTGTTGACATCTGAAGGCTGGGAGGGCCCCCAAGGACTGAGAATTGAGATGATCTCCAGAGGTCAGTTCACTGTTGTGGGATTTTATGTCTTCTCTGTGGTGGTGTCCTGTAGACCTCATCCTGTCTGTGCAAAACGCTTTGCTGAGGATTGCTCCATGCTATCTTGTGCAGTCTCGTAGGGTTTTTTAGTGGATTTTTCTCTACTAACACAAATTGCCATGCACGACCAAAGTAATCACTAGTTAGCACCTGATTACCAGAGCAAGAGCTGAGCTTTAGACCAGCATGGCGTTGTGTTCTTAGTTGATTTTCCTTTCTCTGTTTTCACTGGTGTTTGGTACTTTTAAAACTCTTGTTCAGTAAGTCAATGCTCTGCATGCATGGAAACCTTTTCTCTGTTACAGTCCAAAGAAGTGTCCTAGCAAAATAAGGTTCTGATTGCCCATATTTACATTGGCGACATGAGGGGCAGAGTGTTTACGTGACTTGCCCAAGGCCAAAGCAGGATTTGGTGGCAGAGCTGGGAAGACCATCCAGACCATACACTCCCTCAGCAAAGAGCAGAAGTCCAGAGGCCAAGTGTCCTTCATCCCCTCTTCAGCCACAGCCCAATCACACTCCTCCCAGCATATGAGAAGAACCCAGATAGGTTCATTTCTCAATCTCCTTCTCTCATCACTACCTTGTGGGACATGTTTACCAGGAGAGCACATGAAGACGATCTCATTATTCACCCTTCTGGTGCACTCACATGTGTCACTCCTGTGACAGTCTCTGTCCTTCCCCATCCACCACTATCTCGTACCTGTCCTCTCCTCTCCCTCTGCCTTTGCACAGCACCACTGCGTTAATTCTCTGCAAGAACTGGTGTGAGCCTTGCTATCTCTGGACTGCAAAATTTATTTGTTTTCTATGTGGCAACCTGCACTTCCAAGTTCCCTACAAACCAGAGTAGTAAACCCTTTGAACGGAAACCTGCTTATGACACTAATGAAGCCACATGGGGCTTATGTGAATTGACTGTATTAGACTTTTAACTCTGGTAAGAAGAAGCATTCACCTACTCCTGCAAACATAGGTGAGAAAAACTGTATGGCTTCACAACAGTTGTGCATTTATGCTCTTTCTTGCAATTTTAATTCCTAACATCCCTTGCATGAAAATTGGCCCTTCAAGGCTCCTGAGACAATGCTTTTGAGTGCACAGACCTATCGAAAAATATACCAAGGTACCCCAAGTGAGGGCTTTTGAATGGATACAAATGAGGTTAAGTGTGAGAACCAACCTGCTCCTGGGTCTCACCTATGGAAGGTGTAAATGTGGCTGAAGAACTGAACTTTGAAACTCTTTGGTGCTGTCCCTGATCACATCTACAATGCGCTTGGTGAAATTCCCAAGTCTGATTCTCAATGTTTGTGCACAGCAGCTCTCTCCTGTTGACAGACTGATGTTCCCACCAGTAGGACCTGGAACAAAGTTCTGCTTTAGGCAGTTTCTAGAAAATATTTCTTGGTGTGTCCAAGCTGCAACCTCGGGACAATACTGTAATTTGTCATTTTCTGGGAACGCCGTGAAGGATTCCACCTCAAAGCTGACACAAAGTGACAGATCTGGAGCTCTCTGCAAGCAGACTCTTCAATCTGCTGGGTCCCCATGTTTGCTCCTGCCCAGGCCCCATGAGCATGGATAACTGGCCATGTGGATACGTGAGTGTGTTCCAGGCTGAGGATTAGCTCCTAGCCATTTCCTTTCTTTCCCATTTTTAATCTTTTAAAACAAAGAACACCATCTGGCTCCTGCATTTGTGGGATGCAAAAGTGCGTTAACAAAGGTGAACTGCTTAATTTCCTGTTACACTTTTGGATACAGAAAACAAACATTTGCTTAACAAAAGCAGCAGAGAGGCTTGTTTCCCCTCTTCACAAGACTCTCCATGCTCTGCCTGAAGACAAATGCGTCCTTTTCCTTGTGCATCACAGAGGGATCCCATCAGCTGTTGCCTTTAAACCTTCTTTCAACAAGACAGGATGGCGAGAAGATGGTTGTGAAGGTGTAGGTGGTGGGGAGAGGGGAAACAGCATCTGATTAGAAAGCGGAGGGAAGTGGAGGGACTGGGGAGATGGGGAGAAGTAGCCCAGCTTTTGTGTGAAGAGTAAAGGCGGGGATGCTGAAGAAGCATTTCTGTGATGTGTTGTGTAATGTGCTGTGCCATCTTTGGTGTGGGTCTCTGTGGGAAGGCAGAATGGAATATATCCATATTGGAGAGAAAAGATTTGGGCGGATTTCATTTTCCTTGTTGTTTTCTTTAAAAAAACCCATGTGAGTAGGCGATTTTTTAGGTCTGATTCAGGATCATGACAGCAGGTGATGGGACACTGCAGGTCAGGGACACTGTGCCTCAGCCGAGATGAGTGTGGCATGGACACTGCAGCAAGTCAGGCACAGGGTGCCTGTGCAGTGCTCCCCCGGGGAGCAGGAGGCTATCACGGTGGGTGGGGGGGGTTGTTCAGAACTGGGGACATCACCAGGGCTGTGCTTAGGACTCCCAGCTGCTCTTTCACCCAGCAGTCTGGAGGTTGGTTGCTCCCAGAGCCCTTCTGTGGTTCCGAACTCACCGGTGCTCCAGTAAAATCCAGACTATTTTCCTTTTGTCCCGCCAAATGCATAATTCAATTCCAAAACAAAATCATGTGGCAGCTGCCCAGGGAAAGGGCAGTGTTTCTTCATCTTTAGAAGAGAACAGTCTTAAATCATAGTCAACAGTCCTTAATAACTTCCAAGGTAATGTCCTGACATGGGTGGGACATCAGCAGTGAAGACACATTTTGAGCAAAGGAAGGATTTATGTAGGCATTAAACCTCATTAAGACATCCCTCTGTCCAGATCTGTGTCCTACCCTTCTCGCATCCAGCCCCAAATCCTGGACTGGGCTTGAAACCTCTTGGGGATTTAGCTCCATCCTTTACCAGATGTCTATCCTGAGTGTTCTCCTGATCACAGTTCATCGTGCAGAGGACACCTGCTTGTCAAAAAAGACACATACAGGATTTGCAAAGGGCTCTGAGAATACGGTTCTATTTCCAGCAACACAGAGCTAAACATAATAACAAAAAATGCTCCCTGTTTCTGTGTTCTCACCACTCTGGAGCATTGTTTGGATTTGGGAAAGACACGGTTTGCAGGAAGAAGTAATATCTTTTAACAGAACACAAGATATTGTTGAAGGGTGAAAAAAGAATGAATTTTAGACACACAAGCCTTCTCTGAGCTTTTTTTTTTTTTTTCAGTAGTATCAGTTGGTTTAATAAAAGATTAATATCTCTTCCTATGAACCTTGGCTCTCGCATCCTTAGACCATCAGAACCAAAACAACATTTCTGCTACGACTTTGGCCCTAGGTCAGTGTTCTTTAAAAAGTCTAGGATCCCTCTGGCAGATGCCTCCTCCTCTGAAGCATGAAAGTTTACTGTGTAAACACTTTCTTTCTTCCCTTTCTT